TCTACTTTGAGCCGAAGAAATGTGACCATGTCATTGTCACCAATTAATTAATAATATCTTTGAGTCCAAAATAATGGAGGAAAGAGAAAGGAGGAAAAAAAATTTTATCAATTAAATTATAATATTAATTATTTAAAAATCTTTCTCTTTTCTTTCATCTCTTTTTTTTTTTTCCTTAACTCATATATAAGATAAAAATTAATAAAAAATCCTAATGCTAATTAGGCCCAAGAAAAATCTTAAATGCTTTTTTTTTTTTTTGGCAGTCACAAAATCTTAATGCTATCACGCTTGATTAAATTTGAAAATGACATGCTAAAGAAAGCATGATTGCCAAATTTAAAACCATTTAATATTCATTATAAAACATTAAATTCTAAATTTTTTTAGATAAAATAAACATGATGGAATTGAAAGGTATGGATTTCTCCGCCTAAACTTTTTTAAAGGGTACTTTCATTGCGAAAATAGTTAACAAATAGAAGAAGGCCCCTGTCTAATTTAAAAGTGTTTAAAATTTAGTTAAATATCTTTTTTGGTCCCTTTACTATAGGAAAAAGTTCTTTTTTGGTCCCTATACTGAAAAAATCTCCTTTTTGGTCCTTACTGTTCACAAATCCGGTCACTTTTTAGTCCTTCCGTTAAATTTTGGTTGATGTGGCAGGTTAATTAACCGAAAAACTCATTTTGTTTTTTTATTAAATTACGTGGAAAATCCACATGGCAAAAATTGATGACATGGTTAAATTTTTTACTTTTAATTACTGATTTGCCCCTAAAAAATTGATGACATTTTAAATTTTTTTCCTTTAATTACTAATTTACCCTCTTCTTTCCTCCCCATCCTCTCCTTCCTCCAGCCTTTTCTTTTTTTTTTTTCTTTTTCTCCTTTTACCTCAAGCGAACCCAAGAGTCTGGGTTCGCGAGGAACCCAGCTCGCGGGTTCGCACCCAGCAACTTGGGTTCCTTGCGAACCCAGCTCGTGGGTTCGCACCCAGGAGCCTAGGTTCGCGAGGTACGAACCCATGAGCTGGGTTCGTGAGGAACCCAACTAGCGAGTTCGTGAGGAACCCAACTAGCGAGTTCGTGAGGAACCCAGCTCGTGGGTTCGCGCCCAGCAACTTGGGTTCCTCGCGAACCCAGCTCGTGGGTTCGCACCCAGGAGCCTGGGTTCACGCCTGGCAGCTTAGGTTCCTCGCGAACCCAGCTCGTGGGTTCACACCCAGGAGCTTGGGTTCGCACCCAGTAGCTTGGGTTCCTCGCGAACCCAGCTCGTGGGTTCACACCCAGGAGCCTGGGTTCGCAACCAGCTTGCGAGTTCACACCCAGGAGCCGGCCTCCTCACTGCCGCCGATTACAATAACCTCGGCCAGTGCGAGACCCTCGACGACATCAAGATGCACTTTTCCGCTACTGAATAGGGGCCTTATCTCCAGAATGGTACGTTTCGGTTTCTTCATATCTATTAATTTTATTGACGCTGTTCGGAATTTTGATATACAATTTGAAGTTAAGTGCACGATCATGAATTGAGTATTGAGCTGAGTGTGATGACGTCGAATGGTGTTTAATTGTAGCAGGA